ATACTAATGTCAATTATATATTTAATATTAAAAAAAATGTGATAATTATGTATTTAATATGTTATTTTTATTTGTGTTTTAATGAATGATACTATTTTAAATACTAAATATATTATTTTTACCATAATCATTAGGTTTTAAAAGTTATAAAAGTAGACTTTTAATTTTAAAATAATTTATAAATGCAGCTGTCTCAATGATTAAAAGAAAAAATAAACATAACAACCAATAGCAATGAATGCTAAATTTTCTTATGCTATACTTTAAGGTAAATTTACCACAGTATAAAATATGACAAGTTTGGCACAACAAATAGACTATATTAGAGAGTATTTTTTATCCTCAAATGTTAAATTTGCCATTAGCACAATAATTATAACATTGTATTAAAAATGTTCTTAGTTTTAGCTGTCACGACCCCAAAGATGGGATCTTGATTATTGGGATTTAATTTAAAATTTAACTTAATTAAACTGGACTGTTTAACAAAAATCACAAAAATAAATACATAAATATCAATATAGTTTGCTCTAGAGACTTTCTTTTACAAATAATATTTAAAACAATCCATAAAGTCCAAGAAAAATAGTACAACTCTGGGACAATGTCGACCAATACAGTTTATATACAAAAATACAATACATCTCAGAATTAAAACTGTAAATCCGAAACAAACGTACCGCTTCAAATCTCGCGCATTCAATCCATTGGCATCCACTTGTCACGTTGTAAATCTAAACCGCTAACTCTGGAGGGGGTTTAAAACATTGAAAACATAATAGTAAAAGTGAGCGGAAGGCCCAGTAGGATATAATTTTATAAAACATTGTAAATAAAGGTATTCACGGTCTGAAGACATACACCCGGAACCGATCATCCTTTTTTTAGAAAAAAAAGGAAATACTCACATAGTAGTGGTAAAATATATATATATATATAATGAAAATATGCAGAGCCATAACACCACTAAGCAAGAAGTGAATCCGTACGGGTTTCAAGACCTGCCCCTAAGGATACGATTCCTATATCCCGATCTCTGAGGCCACCAAGTGTTATATCATTTCTTAAAATATTTCATTTTAAGAAATGATACTCTTTAAAATCTCATTTCCAAAATCATTAGAAAACTTAATAGCATTATTCATGTCATTTCCTTTCAAATCATTTTCTTTCAACATGTTTTGTTCTAAAATATTTTCATTGGACAAGCTAACAAGGAAATGGACAAGAATATCCTATCTCTTGGCAATTTAATCTACGGATAACTTCACGTTGTCCAACCTTCTATTCTTGAAGCTCCACGGCTCGCTCTAAACCTCAACGAATCCATTTGATTCGCCTCAATTTACATGCATGGTACCAGTATACGTTTCAACGGAGTGGAATTGGCGCAACCAGAGGTCACCGTTGTGTTCAGCACATCGAAACGAGTCAGGATATGGTCTCAGATCTTCGATCGGACATCGGGAACCTTAAGAACTGAGACCCGCGGGAATCTGGACACCGGCGGTGGCGGGGGGTTTCGGAGCACATTTCCACGGCGGAGCACCACCGGGACACCCCCGGGGCACCCCCGGGACACCCCCGGGTCACCCCTGAGACGCCCCTGGACACCCCAGGGCACCCCCAAGACACCCCCGGGACAACGCTGGGGCACCCCTGGGACACCCCCGGGACACCCCTGGGACACCCCCGGGGCACCACCGCGACACCCCCAGGACATCCCCGGGGCACCCCCGGCACACCCCCAAGGCACCCCCAGGGCAACCCCGGACAACCCCGTGGAACCCCTGGGGCACCCCCGGGACGCCCCCGGGACACCCTTGGGAGACTCTCAGGAGACCCGAGGCAGCCCCGGGGCGGCCCCCATGCACCCCCGGGACACCCCCGGGGCACCCCCGGGACACCCCCGGGGCACCCCCGGGACACCCCCGGGGCACCCCCAGGACACCGCTGGACACCCCCGGGACACCGCTGGATACCCCCGGGGAACCCCCAAGGCACTCCCGGGGCACCCACAGGTCACCCCTGGGACACCCCCAGGACACCCCTAGGGCACTGTTCGCCAAAAACTCTATGCATAAAATGACTCCACGCAAGCGCACGCAATCGAACAAGTAATATAGTAATGAGTAAAGTATCGTCTCCACAGGGACTGAGTTAATGAGGAATTCTATTACAAAAACCAGTTTATCAATATGATTGAGAATAGTTTGAATGCCAAATTGATATTAATTAAGTGAAAAGAATGTATAAGACCAAAGACTGTAATTTAAATGCAGACAAGAGGTAAAAGTCAACAAGATCTGAGCTTAGAGCTGTGATTTAATGATGGATGAAGGCTAGGATTACTGATTTCCCCTCGGTTGCAACTCTGACCACGATTTGCTATACGATTGCTGTAGCAAAGTTCATCTAGTCAACCTAAAATTCTACATAATCATCTTCCGACAGATTTATGCTTGTAATTCCTTAAACCAAACCAACATATTCCTATGTGTTTTAGTTTACAGACCTGACGTTAACATCAATTTTAATGGGTTGTGCAAGATAATAGTATATTCCTATACTATCTCTTACATTATCCAAGCTAGATCTAACTTAACCAACCTTTCCAGAATTAGCTTAAGTTTGTGTTTTCTTACTAAATGATGGCCTGTCACTTAATAGAAAGTAAACAATAAATATGCTTGAATAAACCAGATGAAAATTACATTATCAATCAAAATAGCAAATAGATCTTCATTGCAACTTTGGTTCCATCAATAATCCTAGCTAAGGAATTTAGCTCATGTTTAGTTCAACAAAATCAGAATTAATAACAAATAACAGATCCATAAGGTCTCGGAAAGTAAATACAGAGAGAAGGAGAAAACAGCTAATCTAGAATCTGAGGTCAAAAACCCCTGTATATCCGTGTTGTACTCTTCTTTTCTCCAGCTCCAGCGTCCAAAATCTCCTGTACTCTCTTCTGTCTCCGTTTCCAGCTCGTACAGGAATTCTGCGCGCCTCCCCTTATTTTTCTCCTCTTCTCTGCCCCCTCTGTACTATACTCTCCTTTTCCTTTATATACTAGGGCATGTTGAGGTGCCCTAGTGACAAGTGTATGCATGAGAGTCATGATTGATGGTCTCCCCTCCTGGTGCTCTTACAGCTGTCCCGTCAGTGCTTGAACCACTACCAGCGCTAAAAGACAAACTGCGCCAGCTTGCTAATTTTTGGCTGCTCCTGCTTTTGCTGCGACTTTGCTGCAGCAATGCTATGGCATTGGGGGCATTTCAACATTTGTGTTTTCCACCGCGCTTTTCTCACCAAAAGCCTACGTCAGCACCTCCTGTGGACATCATGCACTAAGTTCCCAGGGTCAATGCAATGAGTTGAATTTAGGAATAACTTCAAAATATAGCAAGATTTCCCATAAATAACGACTTTCTGCCACACGGAAAAAGATTAATAAATGCTATTCAAAATACTAACACAAAGGCATTTTACCCGGAGAATATAAACAAATATTAAGCCTAAAAGTATGCTAAATAACTCTATTTCTGTGAGTTATCAGGCACCGAAGGGACAACCCCGTGACACCCCTGGGGCACCTCCGAAACACCCCCGGGGAGCCCCGGGGCACCCCCGGGACACCTCCAGGACACTCCCGGGACACTCCCGGGGCACCCCCGGAACACACCCGGGGCTCCCACAAGACACCCCCGGGGCGCCCCTGGGACACCCCCAATTACGTTCTCGGGTTTCGGCATTACATCTACCTCTTCATTCGTTACAATCACATCCATCTTTTAATATTATTTCCATGACAACTTTACAAGTTATCGCTGCTCAAGAAAATTATATAAATGTACCTGTGAAAGTTCAATGAACAATGCTAAAAGACACTTCTATCCTCCCTTGCAGGAATATAATCACCATAGCTACTCCTCAAATTTCGTGAAAGTAAACTTCACCGTGCACAAAACTGGCACCAGCCAGTAAAATATTGATACAATTCCTGCGCGTGTAAGACAACTCGTGGAATCACATCCATAAAAGAGTAACGGGGAATTGCAGCAGACGCCTTCTTTAAATTAACATAATTGTTTTATTAAAATAATATTAATAAATAGTAAGAGAGTAAAAATCTACAGTGTTCTAAAGGGTGTATATATTGTTGACGGTGAAACTTCGTCAATAGAAATACACCGGATCACCTTTTGGTATCCCGTGGGGTTACCGGTTAGAAATTAACTGTATATTTGAAATTATATTATGAAGTGTTTGTTATGTTTTGTGAGCATGAATATATCACTTGAACAAGAGGGCACACGGGATTTATAGTGGTTCACTCTGTTAATGAAGAGCTACATCCACTTGTGTATGATATATTTATTTTGGACTCTCTACGATTTACATGCACGTATGCTCCATCTTCTCATCCTTTTTCAAAGAACTCTCCCTTTTTGGCGTATGGGGCTTTGCCTTTTTTATAGCCCAAGTTTTCTTCGTGGGAGGTTTTCCTTCGTAGGTGGAAGTACTCGAGTGACCTACTTTCTAGGCTAAGACCGTAGCCCACTAATCACTTTTGGACTGTTCACTCAGCCATTAGGTCTTCTATTACGGCTCTGTAAATTCATGTAATCTCTTGCTACCCACTGCATGGCGGTTTAAGGGTTTGTAATTAATGCCCGTATTGTAGACGTATCCCACTCCTAGACGCAACTTATGGTGTCAGGCATCTTCCTCTCGGTGTCTGTGCAGCGCGGATCTTATGCCCTTTTTAACATTTTCAAAGGTTTTGCATAAATTCGACGTCACAACGGGTCGACGCCCTAATTTGGGCATTTCTTTGCTGCGTCAAGGATAGTCGAACTCTTAGCGTCGAGGGTGATCGATGTCCTGGCGTCGAGGGTGGCCACCTTTGGAGGAGAGGTAAGACCATCAACCCTGTCACTCATTTTTTCCTATATATATATATATATATTTTTTTTTTTTCATCGTACGGGTATTACGCCAGACTTCAGAGGTTCAACAGGAAAAAAGAAAAAAAAAAAAAAAAAAAAAGAAACTTGATAGTTTATTAGTCGGCTTATGTTTAAAGTTAAACTCTTAACACACTGTGTGTCGAATCCGAAAGAAACGAAAGCCCGAATGGAGGAGAGCAGTGCTCGGAGAAGATTGGATTGTATTACTCGTCACCTTTCACTTCCCCATAAACCCAACAATGTTTTTCAGCCGGTCAGCTTTTTTTACCCTTTTTTTTCACTATTGTTTTTGTTTACAAAAAAAAAAAAAAAAAAAAAAAAAAATTGGGAAAAAAAAAAAAAAAATTGTGCTGATTCTCGTAATTCCAAAATTTGTTGTTGCTTGAAAGGCGTTATTAAGTGGTGGACAATTGAAAAATTCGGAAATGGAACCTGTGATCATAATAGGGGGTATGGTGTTGGACATCCATGCCACTCCTTCAATCTCCGCAGTTCCCAGAACCACTACTCCTGGGAAGGTATTTACTTTATCACCCTTTTCAGAATTTTGGTTTTTGCCATTATGCAACATATTAGAGAAAGAGTATTGATATTGTATATGTTGTTACCTATACTTGTATTAGGAAATCTCTAGATTTGGTTGTTTAGATAACTTACCTTATTCTGTGATTGTAATTTATATTTATTTAGAGCTCATTTATAGTTGCTCCTCATCCTTTTCCTAGTCTGTGGATGTAGGGATAATGCTGAACTACGTTAAATCTCTTTCTATTCTCTTCTTCCTTTTATTTTCTTCTTTAACTGTTGTCACAACATTTGTTGTTTTTTGGTAGAATTTATGCAATATGTGATGATACAACAGTCGGTAAACATAGTGAAATTAGCTCAATTTCATGAAGGAAGTCCAAGTCAATGAAAAAGTTGATTGTCCAATTTTCTTCAATTTCGGAGAATAAGATGAACAATGCCCATTTGGATAATGGTAGATTATTAGCTGAACTTGATGAGTATTTCTGCAATGGTACACATGATGAAGAATTTTGTCATGAATATCATAAATGCGCATGTGTTAAAATTACGTAAGTTCTGTAAAATTGAAACGGATGTTTTGTCCCCGCTTTTCTATCCCTTAGAAGTTAGATTTCAATTTCGTGATTTGTCATGGAACTGTTTTTTTATGATGTGTATCATTTTTCTTTCCCATTTTGTAAGTGTACAAATTAGCCCACAAGTAGCTAATTTCTCTTAATTGTGGCTTCAAGTTCTTGCTTGAATTGATGTGGAACTTGTTTCTGGGCTGGTGTTTAAAAGGGTCAATAAGAAAACCTGCGCTATGCGAAAGTACTTGCTTTATTAGAGATTTTGCTTATGCTTACATAGGAACCTTCTGTTTAGGTAAATTATGTACTAGGTGGTGTGGCAAGAAATGTTGCCGAGTGCATGTCAAAGCTTGGAACAAAACCTTTCATGATTAGTGTTGTGGGTTTTGACATGGCAGGTAATTTTCGTCCCGTATGAATTTTTGTAGTTTTCGAAATTCTGCAAACTAGGACTGTGGTTAACAGACAAGGTAGCATGAAATCTCCCATTTAAACTCTTATTATTTTCTTGTATCTGAAAGAAGAGGTAAATGATTCTAAGTTTAGAAATACTTTCAAGTGGAAGGATTGGAGTTTGTCAGTAAAATCTGGAAATATACGGCCGTGTTTGGAATTGATCATGTTTTTGTTTTTCACGTTTTTCGAGAAAGAAAAAATGAAAACGTTTCCAAAACATTATTTGGCGCAATAAAGACAAAAAGCGGAAATGAAAACAATTTTTTGATTTAGTGTAAAATGAGAGAGAAATAAAAAACGACTTTTAGTCGTTTTTCATTTTTTGTTTTTGTTTTCTCCTCTCTCGAGCAGAGAGAGAGAGAGACATTAATGGGTTTTTTTACACTGAAAACAATCTCTTAATAAAACTACTAAACGCATTTTCAAAAATGATTTCTATTTGAGATTGAAAACGTTTTCATTTTCAATTTGCAGGATTAATATCCCAAAACTAGGGATGTTTCATAGTCCAAATGAGTTGTAGAAATTAGTGTTTAATGCTTATGAGGAGCTGACATGCATTTATCCTGTTATTTCCACCAAATTATTCGGTGGTCATAACCGCAGTTGCATAGACTAAGTATAGTTCCATGGTCGCCACTGAAACTGATAGTTTGTTCTCTCCTTGACCAGGAAATTTATTGTTGGAACACTGGAAATCCGCTGAACTATCTACAAAAGGTCATCAAGTTATATTTTTAATTGTACCTTTTGACTATTGAGACTTTTATGTGTAGATAACTCCGAGTTGTATAATCTTATCCTCTCTCACGTTAGAAAAAGATGTTTCATCTCCACTTCAGAATTTGAGCCAATCTAAAGAGCCTTTACTTGTTAGTTCGAAGTTTGACTCAGCTGTGACACAAGTCTGCAATTTTTTCTGCAAGTCTTTACGATGTATTTAATTCAATACTAGTCTATTTATTTGCAAAGTTGGTTTTTTGTGTAGGAATTCTGAAGCGGCAAGATATCAACACTGCTGTTGTAAGCAATATATTTGATAACAAGGGAGAGGTGAGCGCTGGAGTTGCGAGTGTGGAAGCTATTGTAAGTTGTTAATTTGGTCGATTACGCTTTTGATTGATGAGACCAGTTTAGCGAGTGTGGAAGCTATTGTAAGTTGTCAATTTGGTCGATTAAGCTTTTGATTGATGAGACCGGTTTAACTAACTACAAACTTTAATTTTTCCATGGTGAAACTGCCACAGGAAAAATTTCTTACACCTGAGTGGATCCAGCGATTCAAGAGCAATATACTTTCAGCTTCTGTGTTGATGGTCGATGCAAATCTGAACCTTCAAGCTCTGGAAGCTTCTTGTCAAAGTACTTCCTCCAGTTTTTCTCTAATAGTTTTTCTTCAGTTACAGTCGATTTTCCTTTAGTTTTCACCTTTTTTTATACATTGTTGTTGGTTCTTCTTCTTCGTGCTTTTCAGTAGCAGCATTGTCTAAGATTCCTGTATGGTTTGAACCTGTATCAGTTGCAAAATCTAGAAGAATTGTGTCAGTTGCCAAGTATGTGAGTGTTGCAATTTTCACACTTGAACTGTAATCTATATATACGACAACTCTCCTCTTTCGAGGACACAGGAATCTTGAAACATTTATTTTCTTCGTCTAAAACTCGTGAAAGTTGCTTAAATCTTAACAAAAGGGATTATTGTGCCTTTTCTACAGGTATCATTTGCTTCTCCTAATGAATATGAACTTGTTGCTATGGCGAATGCTTTATCTGGTGGAAACATGTTTTCCTATTCTCCAAGTCAAAGGGACAATAGCAGGGATAAGTTGTATATAGAATCTTTGTTCCAGATGCTAAAACCTGCAATCTGGGTTCTGCTTGAAAATGGTATCAAAATTGTTATTGTGACCCTTGGTCCGGACGGAGTATTCTTATGCTCTAAAGGAGGTCCAAGGTCAATGGGAATCATTCATGAAGAAATCAAAAGAAGTTATGCCAATGGACACTTATACAAAACTGTGACTGCAGCCTGTCCATTGAATCGGACCCTCAATTCTCCCAAGACTGAGAGCAGCTCTCTTCTATTTGCCGTTCATTTTCCAGCGGTTCCTGCAACGGTCATGAGGCTTACCGGAGCTGGTGATTGCTTAGTTGGTGGCACACTTTCTTCTATTTGTGTCGGTTTGGACATTATGCAAAGTGTGGCAGTTGGCATCGCAGCTTCAAAAGCTGCTGTTGAGGCAGAGACTAATGTTCCCCGCGTTTTCAATTTGGCTGCAATCGCAGGTATGACTTTGAAGTAGTCATACTTTATGACAATTCTTGTCAACTCATCAACGCTCCATTAAGTAATACCTTTTCTTAGTGAGGAATTGTTAGAATAGAAAACCAACATTCACCCACCTTCTAACAGTTTTAGCTTATTTGTTGGCCCTTAATATGTTTCGGGCATTTAGGAAAAATGAAAAAACCAACCAAACCCCACCAGGAAATATGAAAAAACCAACCAACCCCAACCTCCCCAGTGTTTAAAAAAAAGGCATAAATCTGGGCATTTCTCTAATCCTCTCTTAGGGCCCGTTTAAAAGGTATACTCAAGTCATGATTTTTAATTCTGACGTTTAAAATTTAAATTTTTTATAAGAAGAAAACATTGTAGCAGAATCATTTGAGTTTGAGTATGTGAAACAAATAGCCCGTTAACTATTCACGTGTTGGACTTTTCAATTAAAATTTGCATATAAAAGTTAGGTTGGTCTGCTTTGGGAGAAAATAGTAAACTAACTGGAAAGAGGTGTGCGTGATTATTTCTACCAATTTGCTTGCTATAAACTCATGATATTGTAAACAAAGCTAGTTTAATTCTTCAAGTATTAAACGTTGAACTCTCACTGACATCCCAAAGCAATACGGTTGATTAGAGCTGTATAAAGATTCTCTTTTTTTTTTTTTTTTTTTGGTGAGCTTTCATTGAAGCAATCGTACTAATTGGCTTTTTCTGGTTTAAGAAAAATACGGACTACAAGCTTTGTCTTATTGATGTGTATCTTTCTTATGCAGATGATGCAAGGTTGGTTTTCTCTGCAGCTAAAGTTGTGTGCCATGAATCCATGCTCTGAATTTTGCAAGTTTTCAGCTGTGCAAGCTGCCATAGTTCAGATTTCTTTCGCCCAAGAACCGAGAAATCATGTGCTCAAGAACGATGAGGAAAGTACAAAGAACGAGAAAAGTGGCCCTTTTTTCTTCTTTTCATTACTCAGTATACTTCTTTGTGATTCTAAGGAAGAGAAATGCTATCGTCTCTGGGTAATAATCATCGTTATTTTACCTTGAGAAAAATTGTGCCATTATTGTACAGTTAAAAAGAACTTTTAATTGAAGAAATTATTTTGGTTTTTTCCAACTAATTATTATTTACATTAACTTACAACATGTGATTCCTCTGGTAAACTTTTGTATATAAGTTCTGTTGTATGGATTTTTTGGAGAGAATAAAAACGCAAAAAGAGTCCTATCCAAGAGCAATATGCATTTGGGCGACCCAAGCGTACCTCCAAATCTGCACTCGAGTAACCACCCGAGTGTACGCTTGCTTAGGTAAAAGAAGATTGGTCAAAGAGTTATTAGTATTAATGTTAAGTAACGATCAGTAATTAAAGGCATTCACCCACTTGAGTTAAATTCTCAATTGGTTATTTTTTATATGTAGCATTCGAAATGTGAGGAGTCTCATTATAATTAAATAAAGAGATATTAAACTCTTGAATCAATTAGAGGAATTAAACTCTCATTATTATAATTTTTCTCCATTTAAAAAGAAAAAACACAATTAATTTTAAATACAATTATCTTGTGATTGTCTTCACTTTATTTTTGCTATTTTTTTAAAGTTTTATGTGTTCTTAAGATGTTTATCTAATTTTCTTAGATTACTTAGGGATTGTTCTTTTACATTTTTAAGTTAGGGTGATTTGAGTGATGATTTTGAGTTGAGTTTGAGTTGTAACTTGAGTTTGTGTTTGGATGTGCATATTTGAGTTATGGTTTGAATTGAGAATCTTTTTGAGTTTGTATTTGGGTGGGTCAAAACTTAAATTTACATTTAGATAGTATTTTAATAAAAACTCAATTGTGATGAAAAATTTTAATAAGGTATATGGGTGGAGTTTTATTCGTCTTTTCGTTGTGAATGCATAAAAAAAATCATCTCAATCAAAATTAAAACGAAAAAGTTATGGCATTTTTAAGAACAAAAAAAATATTATTCATTAACTTGACTTCGAGTTTATGAATTCGAGTTGAAAAAAAAATTTAAACTTGAGTTTAACCCTAAATTCGAGTTTAAACTCAAATTTTATAAAAAAATATAAATTTAAATAAAATTATAATTCGAGTTTAAAAAACGACCCCTCATTCTTCTCATTCGAATTATTAGTAGAGGATTGAACGAAGTTTTTCCCAAACAAGTTGTAAGATCGTTATATATATATATATATATATATATATCGTCCTTTTCTTTACCAAAATAAGCCACATTGCTTTTTTATTTTTTTCCCTTTTGGCGCTTCCTTTTGCTCCGCGAGAGAGAGAGAGAGAGAGAGAGAGAGAGAGACAGAGAGAGAGAGAGAGCTGCTTGGAAAAGAGAGGAGCGGTGGGTCCCGCGTGGGAAAAGAGAGAGAGGAGAAAGGAACCATTCGATCCGTCCATATTTTTAATCCGACAGTCAAAAAAAATTTCTAATTTTATTTATTAATTATTATTTTTTATATTTGTTTGTTAATTTTAGGCTTATTTATGTTCTAATTTTATCCATTTTAACAGAATTTCTCGCTAAATATTTTATACTACTTAAATAAAAATACTATAAATGATTTAATAAAAAATAAAATTTAACAAAAATACACGAAAATAAAATAAAATCAAACCAATATAAATAAAAATAAATTAAACAAAATAAAATGAAATTGATAAAAACACAGTAAAATAACTTAAAATCTTCTTTTCTTGTCATTTATTTTAGATCTTTTTCTCGTGTCTTTATTTCTTTTATTTCATTTTTCTTCTTCTTCTTTTAAAAAAAAAATTTGAGAACTGTTATTTTAAATGAATCACTCGCGCATGATAAAACCTAAAAAAATAATTTGAGAACCGTTATTTTAAATGAATCACTCACGCATGATAAAACCTAGTGTGTGTGTGTGTGTGTGTGTGTGCAATACTTCATCTAAGAAGATATGAAACAGCTCTCCAAGGGACTAACTAGCTCGTCAAGAGATTAGTTAGCCAGAGAAGGTCGTCCCTACATCTGTGTATATAGACCACTACATCTAAGCACACAATGGCTCTCTCAAAAGATCTTACGAGCAAATTTAGGAGTCTCCGTAGTAAAATCACATGTCCAGGAAACTCATAGGTCTTCAAACAACCCTCTATCCTTTATGTTCACGATTTTTTAGCATTTTTCTTATTAGGCTATTCACCTTTCCCACTCGAGAACTTTCATAGGAAAATCTTCAGGCTTATTTAGTTGAGCAATTCAAATTGTGGAGATTTAAATTTTTTTTGTTAGAACTGTAGAATCTGAATTGTGGTGATTTTAATTGTGTTTGAACCGGTATTTAGATATGCAAATAAATTGTAATTTGAATTGAGAATAAAATTCAAACTGTGTTTAAATAAGTGTTGAAAACTATCATTAGAGTTTTATAACAAATCTTATAAAACCTCATTGTAAATGACAATTAAAAATATGTAATATGAGTGAGGATTTGTTCCTCTCTTCATTATGAACACATTAAAAAAATCATCTCAATCAGAATTAAAACGAAGAAGTTATGACATTTTTTAAGATTGAAATTGAAGAGATAATCTCGAACTATTGACAATGATTCAGATTGTTAGAATTTAGGGGGAGGTGAATTCTAAAAATCAAGGGTTTGAACCATTGTTAATGGTTTGAATTATCCTTCAATTTTTCCCTCCCAAAACTAATTTGAATCTTGAACTAAGGTTTGAATCCTAATCAACTATTTGAGTTGTTGAAACAAACACGACAATAGGTTTTTGAACTAGACCCTAATAAGGGTCAAGAAAATTCATACATCTTTAGAAGCTTTTTTTTTTTAATACAGTATGGAATTAAACCCACAATCTTTCCCCTAACCCCATCTCAGCCAAAGCCCCCGTGCCACTGAACGAAGTGGTCTTAGGCTCTTTAGAAGCATTCATGTCTAGGGCTGTACATGGGTTGGGTTGGTGCAGGATAAGGCTTTTTATTGCCTCGTCTCAAAGGGTGCGGGTTACACATATTTGGCCCCAACGATGTTAGAAAATTTCACGACCCAATGATATTTGAGTTGAGTTGGGGCGGGGTGGGGTGGGTTGGGTAGTCGGGTTCATTATTCAAAGAATCAAAATTCAATACAACATTCAAAGTTCATCATCAAATAGTATTAATAACTTCAACATTCAAAGTTCATCATCAAATAGTATTAATAACTTCAACATTCAAAGTTCATCATCAAATAATATTGATCATCAAATAGAAATAATACTAATAATCAAACATAACTCACATTCAAAATTTATCATCAAATAGAAATAATATTGATTAGTCCATCATTAAATAGATAGCAATTCAAAGTTCAATCCAACATCAAACATGAAGCAAAGTAGTCCATCCAACATTAAACATAAAGCAAACATAAATTAGAGGCTTAATTCAAATCCATCTAAAGCAAGCACTATAATAGCAACTATCCTTATTAGTCCACACTCATAGGCTCTTTATCAAGTATGTTTGTACGGGTTGAGTTGGGGTATGCGAGTTATTATAGACCCAACCTACAAACCGCCGCAAATACCTCGGGCCAAACATTTAGTGGCCCAAAAAATAAAAAATAATGCTATAAATTACTTTTTTCAAGTTGGGTTGGATTTGCGAATTGTTTAAGTTTATGTACAGCCCTATTCATGTCACTGAAAATTGACTGACATGTATTTTAAGGCTTGCCATATCGTCAACACCAGTATGGCCAATTCAACGACATTTGAGTCCTAGAGGTCCACTCTTTTGGGCCTGTTGACTATTTGGATCCCAAGACCTTGCATCTTAGCCCAAACAAAGCTACAAAAACTCTTACTTTCCAGCAGGTCCACAATCCCCAAGCACACGAAGAATGATAAGAATTTAAAATAGCAAAACAACGATGACTAAAAACAATGGAGAAAAAAATGACATAAAATAAGAAGCAACAATGACTTGATTAATACAACAACAAGAACAAGTAGAGTTTAAAACGACGTTGACTTGAAAAGCAAACAACAGTCCCATTAATTTTAAGGTGTGTTTGAAACAAGAATTTGTGTCATAGTTCGTAGTCTGTTACAGTGTTTTCTCTCATAAAAAATATACGTAAATTGAGAATAGTTTTGAATTATAATTCTGAATCTGTGAACCAAACGTACTCTTAAAAAACTCACATTTTAACTTTTAAACTTTAACCTGTTACCCATCTAACATTTTGTCTTAGAATTCCTATTAAAATAAACTAAGAAAAAATTAGTGTCAATGTGGTCTTACTAAAGAAAAAAATTACAATGTGGTAAGGTACAATACAGAACTATTCATATAATAAATATGACTGTTAACATACTAATTCAATAATTAAGACACATTTCCTACCGTTAGAGCAAAACAGTTTTTTTCACCATAAATGCACCCTAAAATTAATCCCCATATCCCTACTTTGCATGAAAAAATATTGGTAAATGGATATTCTTAAAAAAAATGAATTTACCCAAAACATTTGTATTCTGTCTAATTATAACTTTTGCTCGTCTTATTATACAAATACCTAAATCACCTCTTGTGTTTATAAAATCAGACTCAAAATGCTTCCGGAGCAATTAAATTTATAAAATGTCAAGATTACCCTTCTCAATCTTTATTAAACACAATTTAAAACATTACTAAACAAAAAACTAAAAAAAATAATTTTAAAAAGTGAAAGCTTTTAAAATAACTGAAGTATTTGTTTAATTGGCATATTTATTTAAACATTTTTAAATTTGTTTATTTAACTTTTTAGTTAAATTGTATCCAAAATAACATTTAATATAAAGGGAGAATGAGTAAAATAACATATTTAGTAGGATGTTTAATAAAATTTAACATTTTTTTAAAATAGTCAATTATATCATAATTTGATATTTTAAGTTTTAAATATTATTAAAAACTCAAAAATACCCTTAAACCTCATTTCCATCTTTCTCTTCTTCTGCTCCAGTGACCATCTTCAGCGTCCGATGGCCATCTCTGAAGACCAGCTCCGACGATCATCTTCGATGATTGATAAATACTATATTTACTGGTAAT